CTCTCCCAACGGTAAAATAAAAGTATTTTTTATTGAAAACACAGTTAGTGAAACGTGGTGTAGAGTCGCTCGCAAGTATAAGTATCTGGTCCTTGGCGTCAATCTGCCGTGGACCTTTTCCTGGAACCCTGGAACGTCCCACACCTGTTCTTTGCCCTTGCAACTGTTAGATCGGTCCGTGAGGCATCAGGCTGGCGGTTTTGAGTTAATACTTAAAATGGGATATAATATCTGCACTCTTGCAACAGGGTTAAACCATTTTTCCAATTCCAAAAGTCAGCACTAATCAGAGAGTCTAACCAGCAGAGGCACATTCTCTGTAGTCGAGTCATTTTCATACCTAAATCTGGTGAGTATTTCCATCAAAAATCATTCAACCCCAATACACTGTCATCTATGCTAAATATTATAAAGAATATAATTAATGGTTTTGTGAAGGAAAATTTTCTGATAAAAAGCCATTACACCTCAAGTATACCCGTTAAACAGGGAAATATGTGAAACAGCTCTACATCAACTGGTATGAAAAATAAAGGCTGCTTACAGGAGTAGCTCTAGACATTCCTTGACATTGAAGAAGCATTTGATCGACCCATCTGTGGAATGTGTTGAATTTGACACCGTTTGTAGGTGAACAAATATCATACTCTGAACACACAAACAGAATCAACAATGGTGAGACTGTCAAGACATCTGTCCAAAGAGAATGACATCAGGGAGGAGCCTAGCTAGGATTTGGTTGTAGATGAACTAAACAGAAAAATCTTTTATTTCCAGGGATATGTTGTTAACGTACTCATACCCATCGTGGAAAAATGCACTGAAGCTGTATCGTATTTCATGAAATAGTCTTTGGAATTGTGTGGATAGGAGATCCTGGACTGCAGCTATTTCAAGCTCCACACACAGGTTGAATTGCAATAGCAACTGATGTATAGGCTAACAGCTCAAGGACTCCAATAAAACAAGAATAACAACCTCACTTTGATGACTATTGATTATATCCCCCAAAGATGAACTTTGAAAAACACTACAATACTATGCTAAACTGGAATGGTAAGGTAGAAATAGCTTGTCAGCCTAGAGAATCAGGAATCAGGTACAAGTCCTAGACTGAAATGATTTGTGTCTCTGGAAGGACTAAAACTGCAGTACAAGTTGAAGTATATGCCAAAGAGCTCTGTCCGCTCGTGAACATCTGGATAAGATAAAAAAGATCTCTATCTACGCCAGTAGCTAAGCAGCAATATATGCTCTGGTAAGGCACAAGATCACCTCAAAATTGTTCTAAAAACGCCTTCAACTTTCTGGGTACATACAATGAGGTAACTATGAACTGGGTGCCAAGACATGTAGGAATCCTGAGTAATGAAGAAACTGATGTGCTAGCAAGGAAGATATATTTGAAAGAATCTCGGAAGACATTTTCAATTGACCATGGAGAAGTGACTTAACGACTATCCAGAAGATTTTTCGATACAGGATCCATGTTATCCATGATGAAGAAACACCGGTTTTTACCAAAGTGAATTGTATTGATTATGCTACGGTGGACCTTTCCTTAACAATGCCACAAACACAATTCGTGAGCAATCTAATTTGATCGTAAATGCAAAGATTTCGTTTTACTAATAGTGTACATTTCTTATGAACTAAAGGAAATGTGCTGTGCTGTAGGATTTACGTCACATCCTCTGGAAAGATGCGCCTGCGGTTAATATCCAACGCTATCTCTGTCGTTTACGGGTTAAATATGTCAGCCGCGTTTTCGCCGGTCGCGACTGAATTTAAATGCAACCTTACCGCCGCCGTCATCATAACTCGAGAAACGCCAGCAGGAAGAAGGCAGCGGTCATTAATAATGCACGGCGATTTACGGACTGGAACCTTTCCTGGGGCCGTTAATCACACAAAGTAACCGTTTTGTCCGATAATGGAAACCAGAATGTAAATATGGCCGCAGTCGTAACTCGGCGGTCGAGATGAAGGAGGCCGGTACTATTATGACACATAAACTGTTTAGTTATATGCCCTGGAAAGGGTGAAGTGCAAAGAAGGAAAACGAGTAGAGTGAGTTGGCAAGAGAGGTCTTAGTTACCAGCGACGGTGCTGATAAATGTGCTGATAAAAAAAAGATAAATTAATATAACCGACTAAATTTTTAAAACAAAAACCTACCGCATGAAACTTTTTTATTTTATGAAGTGTTTTTTTCTGATATAATTTGTATATATTTTTTATATTTTTCGGCGTGGTCAGTCAATTGTTATAAACAAAAAAGTTGTAAAAAAAATTACTCGCCAAATTTCTTTGAAAAGTTTTTTACTGTAAAATGGACCTAAATAAAAACTTTTTGTTCTTTGACAAAAATTCGAAAAATGCTTCGTTTCCAAGATATTTACAATTTAATGTGAAAAAAGTGACGAAAATCGACAAACTTTCGGAATTTTTTTCTCAAAAACTACTGAACAGAGTTTAATTCTAAAAAAAGCATAATAATCGGCAGATCTTCTACTTTAAGAAATATTTTTTTGGTATAGGTCAATTATTTTACTGCCCAATACTTTGAAAATTATGTTTAGTTGCTTACTTACTACTTAGTTGACTAAATGTTCAAACTGATGACCGCTCGCTTCCATACAAGAATAAAGATTTTGTTCGAAACCTTCGCGCACCTTCTAAAGCATTTCCGGAGTGATTCGACGGCATTCGTCGACGATTCTTTGACGCAAATCTTTCAGCGACGCTGGCTGTGTTTTATAGATTTTACTTTTTAGGTATCCCCCAAAAAGAAATCAAGGGGCGATAAATCCGGTGATCGTGGAGGCCACTCAATGCTGCCTCTTCTACCAATTCAATTCCGTAGAAAACGTTGGTACAAATACTGACGGACAATTAACGCATAATGCGGAGGAGCACCGTCCTGCTGAAAAATCAAATGATCTTCATCATACTCTAGAACATATTTAATAATATCAGTCAAGGCAGGGTCAATAGCGTCTTCCAGTAATTGCTAATACATTTGGCCAGTCAAATTACCAGGTACAAAAAAAGGACCCAACAGCCGGTCATCGAAAATTCCAGCCCATACATTTAATTTTTCCGGTTGCTGTGTATGCACCTCGGGAAAAACTCTTGGATTTGAATCGGACCAATAGCGGCAATTGTGACGATTTACCGTTCCGTTCAAAAAAAAAACTGCATTCATCAGAAAAACAGACGTTACAAAATAACTGTGGATCGTTCACTGCTCGCTCGCGAATTATTTCGCAAAATTGCAAACGGCGGTCATAATCATCCTCATGATGTTCCTGGACTAAATGTATTTTGTATGGAAGGAATTTATTCTTCTTCAAAATGGTTTGCATGCTAGTTCGATTGATCCCAGTCACAGATGCCAGCTGCCTCGTACTTAATGTAGGATCAAGATGAACTTGTCCCAAAACTGCAACTTCACTAGCTTCATTAACTAATAAGTTTTTAAATTTCTCGTTTTTTATTGGCTACGTTCACTGTTTCTTGAAAATTGTTTCGTTTTGGCCACCCTGTATATAATATTTTGGTTTTGCTGCTATCTTTAATCCCATATGAATTTGAAACAGGTCCAAAAAATGCCGTTACCTACAGATTACATATTTGGAATTTTAGTCACTATAGTACTTTAGAACTTAAGTAGAGAGTTTTATATGCACAAGACAAGTGTTAAATGTTACATAACCAACATATTCACTGGAAAATTTGCTGTTACATTCCTCACCGATACATTTATCATCCCACTTGTTATTTGAGCACTAACAAACACTTATAATTATACTTATATTACAGCTGATCATGAAATTGGAGTGTTTTCCAAGATATGCAAAAAAACGTACTATAAATATTACTATTATTGATATTACCTTATCAATAACCAGAAAAATCAATAGAGTACAAAGTACGTGATATACAGAAATTCTCGACAAAACAGGAAAGGTACATTCAGATGTTTATATGGGTGCCCATGTTTTCCGTGATCTTTCTTTTTATTTTAGATGGAGTTTTTTGTTCTATGTCTGTCATTGTTTTACTAAAAGTGCGATTTCTTGTCTATAAAACGTCAGTCTTAAAAAAGATTTGCAAGATTCTGTGCAATTTTTTAGAATATTTTTTTAAGTTCAGACATTTTGGAGAATAAAACATTTTGACACAATACACAAAATTGCTTCTTCAATAAAATGTTTCCTACTTCATTATTTAAACATAACTTCGTGACTTCTTAAGATTTTTCTATAAAATTCGATATACGAGGTATCTTAAGAAATGAAATTTTAAAAGATTTTTAATAGTCTCGTATCTTTTTAATGGAGCTAAATTGAACCAAGGCAACTTGATCTAAATCGATTTACCTTTGTCCAATTCGGCTATCCTTGATTTATGGTTCATTCGCTTCGGAACAGCCTGTATATAATTTTTTATTTCTCAAGTTGCAGTTTCATACTCTGATTTAGTAAATTCACGAAATGAATGAATGATCCTCCTTGAGTTATTTATCAAGTGTATGTAAACGAAATGTGTGTAAAAATATATTAAGTACGATATATCTACAAAAATGTAATACTTGTAGCTGTATTTCCATAAATATATATATTTTTAACTACATCAAATATACAGTGTGTCTCCGGATGGGGCAGCGTACCCTTGTAAACATTTTTATTGTTGATATTCCGAGAAAAAGTCAGCCAAAAATTAAATAAAAAAAAATTAAAAATTAAATGTACTTTACTTAGGAAAAGTTTCACATTATGACATTTTTTGGATGACCTGTATTATTTTATTACACATTTGATTACTGCCCATGGCTTCTCAAGATAAGCAAAACTTTTAATAAAGAATAACTTTTTTTTTGAAAAATCGACAATAAAAAAGTTTACAGGAATGCGGTAACCCATTCGGGAACACACTGTATTTCCAAAATGTAAATGAACTAGTGATATGTTTAGATAAGTAAATAGCATAAAAGATTGGAAATAAAATAATTCGAGTAGTTCGTAATAATAACCTTCAGCAATCATGAAGGTATTTGTTTTCGTTTTGTCCCTGATATCTCTGGGGTAAGTCCAACATTTTTTAATACATGCTTCTTTGCCAACATTGCCAATAATTTAAATTAAAACTGTAAAGTTGTAAAAGTCTTCAAGAAATTTACAATAAAGTTATAACTGGTATAATTTGGCAAATTTGTTGTTAACTTGGCGATAATCTTGATACAATGTTCCTTTATAAAGTTAAGACTTTACTAAAAACTTTTTTAGCAATTGTTACGTCGTAACATTTATTTTTACTTATAAACCATATGTATTTTGATTTACCTAAATAATTAAGCAATAAAGGAAATAGTCTAAGAATATCCTGAATCCAAAATATAATTACATTTTAAATTGACGGATAATTGAAGGGTCCGGGTTTATCCTGGTTCAAATTATAACCCTATTAATATATTAGAATACATTTATTATTATTGGTACAATTAAGAGGATTAGGATTTGGAATTTTTTGGACCGTACCGAATCACCGGTCATCAACACTTAATGATAATTTAACCTAGGGCAGTATAAAAACCAATGATTGTGTTCAAAATAAGTACATACTTACGATCTTCCTTATAAAGTAGTCACTAAGATTGTCAATGTATTACTAAATATACTTTAGTTAAGTAAAATATCCGAAACAGTTTTATTTCCAAGGTCTCCGAAACAAGAGACATTTCAGCAATGTCCAAATATGTATGCTTGCTTTGTACACTTTGCTAAAAGATTTTTTCTGATATTTTATCGTGAACAAGGGAGAGTAAAAAATATTTTGTGTGTACTAATTAATTAAGTTTAAAAAAATATAAAAGTGAAACTTTATGATTCATTTTTGGAAAAAAATATCAGCGAGAAATATAATTATTAGTACCTATTTACTTAATTTATACAACACAATATGTACTGTACTAATGATCAGTTTTAAGGTCAGTTCAAGGTCAGACGTAGAAAATCAATTGTCAACAAAGTAAACCTACGTATGTACAGGTTTTTGGAGTTGCTGAATCCGAATCCGGTGTCCGTTTGACTCGATCAGATCTGGTTTAAGTTCAGTTCAAGGTCAAATATAGAGAATCAATTGCCAATAAAGTACATCTATAAGTTTTTGGGGTCGCCGAATCCGAATCTGATGTCCGTTTGACTCAATCAGATCTGGGTTGAGGTCAGTTCAAGGTGAAATGTGGAGAATCAATTGAAAACAAAGTAAACTTACATATCTATACGTTTTGGAGGTCGTTGAATCCGAATCTGATGTCCGTTTGAAGCGATCAGGTCTATTAAATACTTTCTAATAGAAATAGATCAATCAACATACGAAAGATAGTTATATAAATATTTTGGTTTTAAACCTAAGTGAAAAATTTGATTGGGTCTGAGCAGATAGAAAGGTTTCACCAAGATATTAAAGAAGGGAGAAATTTGGGTGGCAATGAAACTATCACTGATATTGCTAGTGATACTAGTGATGACGAATATATTCCATATCACGTTGTTAACAAGACAGGAACATATCACAAAAAAAAGTAAATGATGTTCGAGATTTAGGCCTGGCAGAAAATGGATTTCCTAATATCATGACTAAGAAATACGGAAGCCGGAAAAGTGAAAGCTTTTTACTATCAGTTCAGAAATAAGGAATATTTTTCTAACATGACGAATTTCCTTAGGTTACTACAATGATATTGTTGAATAAATCACTTCAAACATGGATCTTATAAACCTAACGCACATTGAAACAAGAGTGCCATATTTTGAGGATAGTCTTACATGGGATCAAATACGAACATAAATGGCTTTACATTTAACCTTGAACTGAACTTAAACCAGATTTGATCGATTCAAACGAACACCGGATTCGGATTCGCCGACTCCAAAAACGTGTAGATACGTAAGTTTAGTTTGTTGACAATTGATTTTCTACATTTGACCTTGAACTGACCTTAAACCAGAGCTAATCGCGTCAAACGGACACCGGATTCGGATTCAGCGACCCCAAAAACGTATAGATACATAGGTTTAGTTTGTTGACAATTGATTTTCTACATTTGACCTTGAACTGATCTTAAACCAGACCTAATCGCGTCAAACGGACACCGGATTTGGATTCAGCGACCCCAAAACCATATACATACCATGGTCTTGTCTTTCAGACCTGCCACTTTTTTTTGTGGGTCTGTGTAATCCCGCCGCGTATTCTTTACGTATAAGCTTTATTAATATCCAATTGTATTTTAGATTCGCAGACGACGAGATCAATTCCCGGTACTTCCCCAAAAGCTTCAAGTTCGCCGTCGCCAATGCTGCCACCCAGATCGAAGGAGGCTGGCTCGAAGACGGTAAAACTGAAAGCATCTGGGACCATTTCGCCCACACTCATCCAGAGAAGATCGGTGACCACTCCACTCCCGATATCGCTTGCGATTCCTACCACAAGTACAAGGAAGACGTGGCAATGGTGAAAGCCATGGGACTGGACTACTACCGTCTGTCCATCGCCTGGACCAGAATCTTACCCACGGGATACCCCGACAAGATAAACCAGGCCGGAGTGCAGTACTACAAGAATTTGTTCGCCGAACTGAAAGCTGTCAACGTGGAGCCCATGGTGACACTTTACCACTGGGATCTTCCTCAAGCGTTGGAGGATGAGCTCGGAGGTTGGTTGAATGAAACTGTGGCGGATCTCTTCGCGGAATACGCAAGGGTGTGCTTCGAACTCTTTAAGGATGACGTGAAGATGTGGATCACCATCAACGAACCGAAACAGGTATGTCAGGCGGGATATGGCTCTGGATATTATGCCCCTGGTGTCGTTTCCGATGGGATTGGGGAGTACATCTGCTCCAAAAATTTGATTATGGCGCATGCCAAGGCTTATCACATCTACGACAACGAATTTAGGGCCACCAATCAAGGTAGGTTTCAGTTCAATTTTTACCGTTCGTTCTGTTTCTGGTAAAGGGAAAGTTCAGTATTAACATCTAGTTCTAGATGTTTTGGACGTGTTTTGTCTTTTTCTAATTGCAACAAATGAAAAGACAAAGAACATCTAGATGTGAATACCAAAATTATCTGCAGTTTTATTAAATTTTTGCAATTTGATGTTTGTAGGAAGAGTTACTATGGTCATCGACACGTCATGGTCTGAACCTGGTAGTGACAGTGCAGAAAATCAAGAAGCAGCGGAAAGAGCCCTTCAATTCGGTGTAAGAGACTTATTTTACAAATAAAACCGTAACGTTGTAAAAGCCTTAACGACGGGTTTGCAAGGAATCGTTAATCTGACAAGCTTGTTTGTAAACTTGTCTTACGACACCTTTTCTTTACAACGTTGCTAAAACTTTTTTTAGCAATTACAAGAACTTACTTTTAAATATTGCTATTTGCAATAACAAAATGGCAAAGACTGCCTGTGGTAAAACTTAGTAAATTGTATTTCAGTCTCGCCTTACCTTTGTTAAGCTTTATAACATTTAGTCGTTCGGTTGTGTCGAATTTACTGCAAGCTATTAATTCCTGGACTCTCTCTGCAGACAACGGACAAACCTTAGATGTTCTATACTTAGATTTTTCTCGAGCCTTTGATTAAGTGCCGCACTCCCGTCTATTGAATAAACTGAACCACTTCGGTGTCCGTGGCTAACTTTTAAACTGGATCAAGTATTTTCTAGAGGATCGCCAATTTACGGTTCGTGTTGCTGACAGTTTCCAATAACTGCAGGTCTCAAGTGTTATCTTATACAGATGACCTTAAATTGTTTTACTCACCTTCTTCGCTTCTACAAGAGGATTTTGATATGATTATGAATTGGTGTTCTGAATGTCCAAAACCAATCCTAGAGTAGCATATAACATTAATGGAATCGAACTACCAAGCGTGACACATCAAAATGATCTCGGCGTTGTTATAAAAGAGTCGCTTTCCTGGAGTGCACATGTTACGAAAGTTGTGAACAAGTGCAATCAATTAATTTTCATAATTAAAAAATCTTTCTGTGCCCTCACCATCAGCATGTTTTTCAAGTTATATAAATCCTATATTCGCCCTCAGATAGAATTTGCCGTAGCCATATGGTCTCCGTTATTAAAGCAGGACATTGCAAGATTGGAAGATGTTCAAAGGCGTGCTACAAAACTCCCAGTCGGTTTTAAATACCTTACATATGAAGAACGTCTTCAATCATTGGAAGTGCGACGTACTCATAACAACTTATAGAATATTTCTTGGTGAATTACACTGCCCAGAAATGATGTTTCAACTAAACACTAATTCTCGTCTTAGAGGTAACTCCTTCATACTTAAGAAAGAAAACTTCCACACCCGCAACAGACATCATTTCTTACCCAATAGAATTTTCGACCTGTGGAACTCCCTACCAGATTATGTGGTTTCGGCACCATCTCTTAATTCCTTCAAGAACAGACTCGATAGTCACCTCAATCCCCAAATAGGATAATATTTTTCTAGAATATGCATGCATATTTTATTTTTTTTACTGTTTGAATTCGTGTCATTAATTTTTGTTTCTTATTTTTCTCTTTTTATTGTATTTTTCTTATCGACAGGCATTTGCTTCAGCTCTTAAAAGTTCTTAATAATAATAATATTTCTAAAGTGGTTTCTAACAAAATCATAATTATAAAAACATTAAACATTAAGTTGACCCTACTTTTTTGGTTTTGAAGCTGCCCAGTTATTTTTTATATGAAATTGAAGCTGATGATCTTTTAAGGATCTCCAATTGACATTTACCGCCCTAAAAGCAAGAAGAAATAATTAGTTGATAATGATGTTGGTGATGTTATCGAAAGGTAACCTAGTGAGTTTCTTCTGTGTAACTTTTTCATAAAAACAATACTTTTAGGTCTTTATTTCCAATATATAAAATGTTGAAAACTTTGAAATTTTTTGGTTTATCCATTTTTATTTTTAAGCCAATTAAGCCATATCATTCTAACGTGCCTACAACACAATTTTAAAAGGAAAAAGAGGACTGTGGTCATGCAAGTACAAAAACAATAACAATACGTAGAAAAGTACGACCAATCACAAACGTGACAGAACTAACAGACTAAATCACTAATAGTGACGTTACTAAACTACAAATCATAAGATGTAAAGTTCTGACGGTATACGGCAAATTTTCAGTTCGGCCTTTACGCCAACCCGATCTTCATCGGAAACTGGCCGCAGGTGGTTATAGACAGAATCGCACAACGTAGTGAATTGGAAGGATTCGCCACTTCCCGCCTCCCCGCCTTTACCGACGAGGAAATCGCTTATGTCAAAGGTACCTATGATTACCTGGGATTGAACCATTACGCTACCAAAATGGTTAACGCCACGGCAGACGCACCAATTGGCGATCCAGCTTATTGGAAGGACATCAGCGTCTCGACCTGGGGGAAGCCAGAATGGCCTAATGGAGCTGGTGATTGGTTTAGTGTAAGTTTCTTTAAAAAAATGGTAGCAAAAAAATAATAAAGTTTATGGAAAACGTTATTTTAACACGTAGGTTGTTCCGTGGGGTTTGCGACACCTTCTTGTGTGGCTGAAGAAGACTTATGGTGATGTTGAAATTGTCATCACAGAAAATGGTCTTTCTGATACTACTGGAATAATTGAAGATGATCACAGGATATCGTACTACCAGGTACATTTTTAAGCACTTATATGTTTTTTCTGCAACTTCTTTTTTGTTTGCTTAAAGGGATATCTGAGCGCCTGCTTAGACGCCATCTATGAAGATGGAGTCAACTTGTCGACCTACACCGCTTGGAGTATTATCGATGATTGGGAATGGACCAGTGGATACGGGTAAGTAACGGTAACGTACATTTAAAATAATATTAGAATCAACATCCAATCCGTTTTGACCTTGACGGAGTGTCAAGTCGCACATATTAAATTGAATATTTGCTTTCATATTTTGGAAACATTTTGCAATGTTCTTAATATATAATTTCTTTCATGAAAATTAAACATTTTGCGGAAATATTCTGATAACATTGTAGTAACACTTAAGTATGCACAATTTTGTTGCAGTATATTTTTGGGCATGCACTACGTCAACTTCACGGATCCAGAAAGAACAAGGATTCCAAGAAAATCTGCAGGCTGGTTCACCAACATGGTCAAAACCAGATGTTTGGTAGACACTTGTACCGAATAAAATGTAGATGTTTTCGATTTATTTAAACATGCGTTTTCACTACAATTTATTAAAAAATCACAGTCTATTCAGTACTGTTTTAAATATAAAATAAAGAGTACATTGCAAACACCTATTTATTTTTCTTGAAAACCGAACAAAGGCAACTTATGATACGGCTATGTTTCGACAAGATACAATTTGCTGTTTAATAATTTTAATAGTTTACCGAGCTCGTTCCACAGAACTGGAAAGCGCATGTTATTACGGTTTCATACAACCTGTTACCCCATGTAAACCAGGTCGTGGATATCCATTGATTGGTATAATAATAATATTGTTACGAAAGCCGAGACGCGTGGTAATTTAATTATTAGTTCTCGGAACGGATGTGCCAAAAAGTAAAATATTTTAGTCAACACTAATTTATCGAAAGGTTAAGGGTTTCAAGAAGGCAGCGTCGCCACAAGGCCGTCCTTCGGTGAAGGCTTCATGAAATTTAACAGTATTTTTGAACAAGTTCACTTAGACTGTCGGGGCCATGTGTTGAGCATCTGGTATAAAGAGAAAAATTTATATTTCTAATAACGCGCGAAATGCATTCGAAAGAATACGTAGGAATTCCAAGATATTTAAAGTTGTTAGAATGTTGTCAGGAATATAATAATAGGTCAAATAGCTGGTTTTTAGGCGGATTTTCCAAGCTATAAGAATAGATTAAATGAGATTGACTAATCCGTTCCGTATTGCTACACGGTGTCACTAGAGGAAGGCTAGGGTTTCTTGTAAGTCCAGTTAATCATAGAATTATTTATATAAATATAAAAATCAGTCAATAAGATTAACATGGCATAGTTATGCCGAAGCGTCCTGATATTCAGGGTTCCCGCCAGTAAGATAAGAACATAAACGTCTGGAACCAAGAAATGGGCGTGTCGAAACGAGGTGTCGAATTCAGGAGAGATCTCCGAAAAAACAGGCAGTTTTTCCAGTCAAATTAAATCACATGGCACTCTATTTCACAAGATTCTGATTAGTTAGCGTTAAAACCTGAAAAGGCACTGCCTCCTTGTTTTGTTTATATAGATATAGGTCTTTTTTTATTTATTCAATTAAATTGGAAACAGGGGCATATAGCGTGCCAAATAATATCACACGGTACCGTTAATCAATTAGTTAATTAGTACTTATTATTTATGGATTATGGCACGTTCTATTACAGCCATGACGTATCAATAAAACGAAATTTAAATATTTAGAATGAGGTTTTTTATACTTAAGAATTTTGTTAAATTCTGCTTTTCAATAGATAGTATAAGTCGTAAACAACTTTTTACGACTTTATTTACTCATTAAGTTGAAGAATGGACACTGACTAATATGTAAACTAAACGATATAGAGAAATAAACTCCCATGATAGTTTTAAGTTGGTTACCCTTACCACATTTTCCCAGTTTTTTTTTATCACAAACACTTAATTTGCCTCATTTGCCTTGCCGGTCAGTAGAACAACGTTAGTTTGAGTCAAATAGAGGCTTGTGCTTAAACATAGTCATCATTAGTCACCTACGTTTGATGGCAAAATTCCTCAGAGGTATCTTGTGAAGTGTTTCTTCAAGAAACAGAGACCCAAAACCACAGACATTATAGCTTATCGCCTAAATGTTAAATAAAATAAATCAAGTTAGAATTTACCTAATTCATTATTTATTTCAAAAATATTAAAAAATGTAAAATTTCCTTAAAAATAGTACCTTAATTTTGTATTTAATAATATAGTGGTTTGGTCTTCAAGTGAGGACAAAAACTCTAAGTATCATGGAAAACTTTATTCTAATAATTTCGCTGGTAACACGAGACACAGCCGAGCAGGAACTAGGCTTCAAGACTTCTGATTCGTGCCTCGAAATGTTTTCGGTTCTATCCTTGTACCCAGGTACCTACTTTTATTACCCTATCCCAATTAACACTTATCTGGGTCCGCTACTCGGTTTGTGCTTATGTACCCTAATAAACAACAACTAATTTATGTTTACAGCCTACTTATTCTAATATCATTTGCTAAATACATTTATTTGGGATAATCTCGGATAATTCAAAGTATAATTTATATGGTAAATTCCCAGAAAACAAAATATATTTATTGGGGCAGGTACTAAAGGTAATTGTAGCGTACCGCTACAATAAAATTGTTGGAACCTCAAGGAGTGGTTGATACGAAATTTACTAAAAAAAAAACAACAAATCATCAATCAATGAAGCCCCAGAGACTCCTGAAGACAGCAAAGAGAGAGATACAGAGAGAGAGAAAAGCCCTCTATGAGGACAAAGTCACTATATCTCTATCGCACACTATAACTCTATCTCTTTCGCACACAATCAGACAAAAACGGCAGAAACGAACCTTGAAAATCATTAAATCAGGCTGAACGACTTCGACAAAAACGTTAAGCTACCAATCAGACCACAACGCGGCCTAAAGATCTAGTCCTGGGGCTCGTCATCTTTCTCTCCACCGCCGTTCCCACTCAGCGGGGGCCCTCGGGGTCACACGCGACCAGTCACCTGTCACTTATATCTTATTGCATGCACCACGCACAAGTTTTCGCCCCTTCCCCCCCTCTCATCCACGTCAGCAGTCTGGTTTCTTATTGTTAATGAAAGACTATGGACAAGGCCTATAATTAATCGTAGTTGGCTAGGAAAAAAGGAGGTTTGTTGCGGGAAGGGGTCATTATTCACGCTTTTTATGAGCTCATCGGTGAATGAATGGTTCATGATGGGGTGCAATAATATTTTTCAACGGCCAAATGATTACATATTTCACCAAACCACTGTAAAAGTTTTCCTGTACCGTACCATAAGCTGAAACATTAATCAATTCCACACTATAAAAAAAATACCGTTCCTTCAGATATTGGCACTAGAAAACGATATTTTTTTGCACGGTCTATCTCAACACGTGGTTGGACGGGTTATATTCGCTTCAAAGCAAAGAAGACAGTTTAGTGAATCCTAAATAAATTTTAATAGTGCTTTTAAATAAGCAAAAGCAGTTTAGCAAATAATTCTCCCCAACGATATGTAGGATCTCACGACTCTCGATCATCATAGCGAAATGAAACGCCAGAAGGCAAAAGGATAAGTAAAGAGAAATGTTTTTACTTCGTCTTATTCTGTCTTATTTACTATTAAAAAAAATAAAAAAAGTTGTTTCAAGATTTTATTCTTAGTTCACGCAGAGGTACAATCACAGAAAAAATATATAATGTAGCTTACAATGTCTAGTATTACTACTAAAAAGAGCATAATAATGCATAATATAAAATGGGTGCAACACTATAAAAAAAAATTAAAACTTCTTATGAGCATCTTAGGTACTAATGACTTCCCATTTGTGACACCATTATCATCTGTTTGTTACTCAAAATAAATTAGGAAGTAGTTGAAAATATAAGGAAGACTTTGATTTTGACATAAACAAATGAAAATTTTCTTTCCAGCGCGTGTGTGCATTGTATTTTGTTTACCTACCATTTTTATGCCATAAAATTCCATAAAAAATATATAATGTAGACTAATGTATTGTCTAACGAACAGTTTTTGTTTCATTAGGGCAGATGCAATAGTTTTCGAAAAAAACAGTTTTGAAGAATACCCGCTTTAGCGTCTATTTGATCAGTTATCACAAGAACGCAGCGAGATGCGAGGCTGAATTTGTGTCAATGGTAGATTTATATCTCGCCAATGTTACCACACAAGTAATTTTTAAAATACCCTTCTGGGGCCGCTGACCTTATCTTATCCTGCTAGACCTTTTATTTGTTGCAATATTTACATGTTCAATATATTGAAATGAAATCAGATATGAGAGAACAAATCAAAATGTAAATCAAATGTCTATTTGAAAGACAAAGCAGTAAATATAATGGTTTGAAATGGTTATTATAAAATTAAGAAAATATTTGATAAAAAAATTTTAATGTTAGTATTGAATGAGTAGTAGGAATCATCGGTTTATTAGAATAGGATAAATTTCAAAATCAAATAGAAAATTAATTATAAATTTGTTCAGATAAAGCATATGCCAAGAAATTGTTAAAAAAAAATTAAATAAAAATAATTCAAATTCATAAGTCACCGATATCTAATAAAAGTTAAAATGTTAGAGTGTTTATAAATAGTTATAATATATGGTATAATACTAATTAGGAAAAGATATTAAGGATCAAAGAAAAAGTTGTATATCAATAAATCAATATGTCAAAGAAATATCAAAAATTAAAGTGGGATTCACATGGCATCAAGTAGTAAATAGAAAAGTAACATAAGAGTAGAGAATGAGAAATATTTTGAAGTAGAATGTAAATGAGATTGTTAAGAAACTATAATAAGGCATAAGTGCAAAGATTAAGTGAAGTGAGGTGAGTGAAAAAGAAAAAAACGGCAAGTAAAAAGAAAGCAGAATCAGATATGTGAAAAGACCTTAACAGGGGAAAAACCAAAATCAAGGTAGTGAGAAAAGAAAAATAATTATTGATTAGTTACAAAAAATTTTGGGAGAAACGTCAAATATTATAGAAAGATATTAAAAGAACCCGGAATACAAGTCGAAGCAGCAGAAAGAAAACAGCAGAGAGAAAGCGGAAAGCCAGCAGCCGAGAGAAAGAAATACAATCACAGGCGAGGTCCAGGAAACCAGATAAATAAGAGGCCAGAGTAGCAGCATCAGTGGCAGGTCCCAGGAAATTCCTCAGAAAACGGTATAGCAGATAGTGTCCAAACAACTACTGAAACCGGAAAGGAAAGGAAATAAACAAATAATCCGTATATAAAAGAAAAGGTACCTTTTTAATTGTCGTATACAGTTTGTGCACAAATTAACAGTAAAATTCGTTTGAAAATCTTGATAAATTCAAAATCAATCATTTGAAACAAATTTAAGTCCGTGATATATCAAGCATCATAAAAATTTTTGGCCAATTATTTAAATTTGTAGATAGTAAGATTAGATATAAGGAGGAACATATTAAAACAAGAAATTACACGAGAAAATATAAATTACATCCAAAAAGCAACCAGTAATACAGTAATTTAACCAGATCGAAATAAATTCTTGTTTTAAGTGGTC